ACAAAACTACGTTATGTTACAGTCTTTTTGTTATAAGGTGTCAAAAACAATGTTTCTTGAAAATAAGTTTTTTATAATAAAAATAGCCAATATTTGTTGAGTAGTTATATGTCAGGCACCATGCTCCGTAGTCTAACAATTTGTCTTATTGAACATTAATAGCTTACTTGGGAGACAGAAAGTTATTATCCTCTTTATCTCATCAAGAAACGGAGGTGTCAGAGTGGTTAAGTAACTCGCCTAACATCACAAAGATAATATCTAACAGGGTCAGAGTGTGAATCCAGGTGTGCATTGACTCCAGAGCTTAACCATTACATTACACTGCCTCAAGTTGCACACAAGAATTCATCCTGCAAGTAAGCAAAGGTGTCCACTGAGATGAATGAAGCTTTCTGTTCTACACTGGCAGACCATATCCTTAACACAGTGACTGGCACACAGGAGGAGCTCAAAAGATACATGTTGAATGAATAAATATCAAAGGAGAATGACATGAGTGCCTTTTATATCTGCAATCCAATTAGAACAAAAAAAATCAGAAAAAACAAGTAATATATGCAGAAGTGTCAAGAGAAGGCAGAATAAAAGAGAAAATGTAGTTTATTGGGAAGAGAATCCTTATGGAAATGTGTTATTGGATCCTCGATTACTACACATTTACAGATCTAGGAATAATGAGGATACAAATAAATCTAAGATCTTCATGATGTTCATAAGCTTGGTGTTGGGAATGACAAAGGACATTAAAGACATACTACACAATCGTCAAAAAGGAAGAAAGTACTAAAGGGCAGGATTCTAACAATTACAGACTACAAAGGAACAGAACCATATAGAACAGAAAGAATCAGAGAACAGAGAAAGATCACTGGGAACTAGCCAGGGATGGAAGAAAGACTTCATCTCAAATTGGGACCTGAAGGTTTGAGCAGGTGATTCTCAAAAGACACATAGATATGGCTGGAACAATGATATTCCAATCGAAACCCTCAGGGAAATATCTTCTATATATATTTTCAAGAAACTAAATATATGCTCTAGTGTCTCTCATTTATTTCCACAAAAAATAAATTCGAGCTAAGTATTTGGGAGAGAAACTAAGGCACATAAATTAAATAACCTGCCTCAAAGGTAAAGTTTTAAAAATGTATTGACTTCCACTCTAATGTTCTAGCAGACAACATGGAACACCATTTTTAAAAGAGCTGGAGTTAACAGACACTAGAAATTATCTTGCTCAGAGAGATTCATCTGGTTGGAAACCTTTGGCTAAAAGCTACTGGAAAGTTAGGAATAACATTTTCTACAATTGAGTCCTTTTGGTAGAAAGCTGAGACACATGGTCTGGCACAGTGGCGCACACCTGCAATCCCAGCACTTTGGGAAGCCAAGATGGGGGGATTGCTTGAAGCCAGGAGTTCAAAACCAGCCTGGGCAACACAGCAAGACCCCATCTCTACAAAAAATACAAAAATTAGCAATACGTGGTGGTCTGCGCCTATAGTCCTAGCCACTCAGGAAGCTGAGGTGGGAGGATTGCTTGAGTCCAGGTGTTTGAGATTTGAGATTGCAGTGAGCTATGATCACATCACTGTACTCCAACCTGGGCAACAGTGGGAGACCTTGTCTCCTTAAAAAAAAAAAAAAGAAAGAAAAAAAGGAAAGAAAGAAAGCTAAGACACAGCCAAGCTACTCTGAGAGAGTTCTGAAAAACTGTCATATTCCACATAGAGATAATAAATAAAAGCAGCCACTGCCCACGGATTCTGACTCCACAGATGAGGTATACCTCTCTTGTGTAAACTGAGATTTAAGCTTAGCAGCAAAAGCTTTTCAAACTACAGATCTATTTTTTTTAGCATACCTACACCAGACAGCTACAAACACATTAACTAAAGAACACAAGAGATACCCAAAATGCCAATATTCAAACTGACTTTGTACTAAATCCTGAGTGACCATCCCAAAACTAAGTGATGTAAGAGTATTATTCCATTTTTGACTAGTGCCAACTATTATTAACATACACACTGAACTTCCTACAAGAACACCACACATCACTGCCATCTCAATATTCCTCTGAAAAGGATTATCATTTGGAGAAACAGAGGCTCAAATGATAAGGCCACCTATCTGAGGTCAACTGGAAATCAACGAGCACCAGGAATAGAATTTAAATTGTTTCCTAGTCCAGATCTCTAAGCATTTCAAACAGAAGGCAGCAGCTCAGTATAATCCCAACCATTATGGAACATGCCTTCCAGCAATAAAATAACAGATCACTCTCCTAACACAGACCATGAGCAAAGCAGTGCCTAGAAATCACAGTGTCAGTTAAATTCCATCTTCAGGGATGAGTCTGGTAGGCTCTCCACCACGATCAAAGCATGCCGGAGAACCAATGCTTTCCTTCTTTTGCTCTCTTTCATTAAAGAATAGGCTCTTTACCCGCAGTAGCTGAACTTTACCCAAGCTCCACAATTACTATAAAATAGGCCTGAGAAAAGGAAGACACAGTAAAGACAACTCTGCCAGAAATAAGGGCTGGCACGAAATGGCAGCGGAAGAAAAAGCAAACTGATTCTCAGAAGGTTCAAACCTTGTCCAGTGGAAATTTCAAAGAAGTCTCACTTCCAGCGGAGAGGTGAAGGAACTGATAGAAGAGAGGGCAGGCAATATGTGTAATAAATATTTACTGAGAACCTAGCACATGCTCTTCTGGGTGTTGAGAAGACAGCGGAGAACTGCTGGCACAAGAAACGAGCGACCTGGATGTTTAATTGTAGAAGGGAGGATGGCGGCAAGAATGAAGAGCTTCAAGCTGCAATGTGGAAGGCGGAGGTGTGGTGGGGTGGTATGGTTATAGCGTCAGAGTCGCCCAGACTTCGGTTTGAATCCTCACTTCATTGCTTGGCTAGCTCTGAGTTGACTTCTGAGTCATCTGTGAAATAGAAGGCACCTCGCGGAGTTGTGAGAATTGAATGAGACAGCGCACAGCAAGCACTTCGCCAGGGTCTGGCGCTAGTAAGCACGCTATGAGTGAAAACTGTACCTTCCATTTTTAATAGTTCCATCTTCCTGTCCCTAAAGCCTAGTATTCCCTAAAGCCTGGAATCTCTTGGAGGATTTGGGCATGTCGGCTGACGGATTCAATGCATTAAAAAAAAATGAACAGAGGAGCGGAAACGGAGGGCAGAAACTGCAGGGTGGCTCGGCGCAACACGAAACGATTCCTAACGAGAGCAAATGGGGATAACCAGGGAATCCCGCAAGGCACACCTGACGCCAGGGCAGGACACCAGGAACCTACAGTGGGGACGGAGGTGGAGGGTCCTCCCGGCGACCGCGAAGGGCCCCGTCGCGCCTCCAGGGCGCGTCACGGCCGGACGAGGAAGCGCGGGTGGGGCGCCAAGGAACGGGCCGGTGAGGAGGGGAGGAAATGAAAGGGACTTGGGTGAGGAGACCGGAGGCCCAGCGCGGAGGGAAGGAGTGAGGAGCCGGCCCCTTCCTGGAGAAATCTCTTCAGACCCCCGCACGCAGGGACCGTTTGGACGTAACCGCCTCCCTTTTCGGCGCCCATCCACCAAGCCGAGGTTCGCCCGGTCACTGCCGCCACATCCCGCCTCCAATTCCCGCCCTGCTTCCGCTCGGCTTCGACCCCCCCGCCTCACAACCACGCCGGTCCACTCGGCCCGCACCGCACCTCACACACGGCCCGCCGGCGGCCGCCGCCATCTTCGCGCGCGAGCGCCCCAGCCCCGCCCCCAGACGCGGCGCCCACGTGACCGCCCCTCCGGATCCGCACGCGGCAGGGGGCGTCTGTCACGTGACGGTGGTACGGGGCGGTGCCAAGATGGCGGCGCCCGAGGAGGTGAGGATCCGGCTGTATCGGTGGCTGAGACTGTGAGGACGGCGGCGGAGTTGCGACTTCTATGCTGTAGGTTGGAGGCTGAGGAGGGTGGCTGAACGCCATCTTCCAGGCCAGCGAGCGACCTGCAGTGGAGTTCCCTCCTTGCAGCTGGAGAACGGAGGGAGAAGGTTGCTGTCTGGGTGAAAGTGCCGCCCTCAGCTTGGCGGTGCTGAGGGGCCCAAAGTCCAAGGTCCCCTAGGCACCCCGGCTTCCCCGGAGCCCCACATTTAGAGACATGACCCGAGAGTGCTCACCCCCGACCCCCACCCCGACCGGGACACCGCTGAGTGGGTCGGTGCTGGCAGAGGCGGCAGTGGTGTTCGCAGTGGTGCTGAGCATCCATGCAGCCGTGTGGGACCGATACTCGTGGTGCGCCGTGGCCCTCGCGGTGCAGGCCTTCTACGTCCAATACAAGTGGGACCGTCTGCTACAGCACGGAAGCGCCGTCTTCCAGTTTCGAATGTCCGCGAACAGTGGTTTACTGCCCGCCTCTATGGTCATGCCTCTGTTTGGACTAGTCATGAAGGAGCGCTGCCAGGCTGCGGGGAATCCGTTCTTCGAGCGTTTTGGCATTGTGGTGGCAGCCACTGGTATGGCAGTGGCCCTCTTCTCATCAGTGTTGGCGCTGGGCATCACTCGCCCGGTGCCAAGCAACACTTGTGTCATCTCGGGTTTGGCCGGAGGTGTTATCATTTATATCATGAAGCACTCCTTGAGCGTGGGCGAAGTGATTGAAGTTTTGGAAGTCCTGCTAATCTTTGTTTATCTCAACATGATCCTGCTATACCTGCTGCCCCGCTGCTTCACCCCTGGTGAGGCGCTGCTAGTATTGGGTGGCATTAGCTTTGTCCTCAACCAGCTCATCAAGCGCTCTCTGACGGTGGTAGAAAGCCAGGGGGACCCAGTGGACTTCTTCCTACTGGTGATCGTGGTAGGGATGGTGCTCATGGGCATCTTCTTCAGCACCCTCTTTGTCTTCATGGACTCAGGGACCTGGGCCTCCTCCATCTTCTTCCACCTCATGACCTGCGTACTGGGCCTTGGCGTGGTTCTGCCCTGGCTGCACCGGCTCATCCGCAGGAACCCCCTGCTTTGGCTTCTTCAATTCCTCTTCCAGACAGACACCCGCATCTACCTCCTAGCCTATTGGTCTCTGCTGGCCACCTTGGCCTGCCTGGTGGTGCTCTACCAGAATGCCAAGCGGTCATCTTCTGAGTCCAAGAAGCACCAGGCCCCCACCATTGCCCGAAAGTATTTCCATTTTATTGTTGTAGCCACCTACGTCCCAGGTATCATCTTTGACCGGCCACTGCTTTATGTGGCTGCCACTGTATGTCTAGCAGTCTTCATCTTCCTGGAGTACGTGCGCTACTTCCGCATCAAGCCCTTGGGTCACTCTCTGCGGAGCCTCCTGTCCCTCTTCCTGGATGAACGAGATAGCGGACCACTCATTCTGACACACATCTACCTGCTCCTGGGCATGTCTCTTCCCATTTGGCTGGTCCCTAGACCCTGCACACAGAAGGGTAGCCTTGGGGGAGCCAGGGCCCTAGTCCCCTATGCTGGCGTCCTGGCCGTGGGTGTGGGTGATACTGTGGCCTCCATCTTTGGCAGCACCATGGGGGAGATCCACTGGCCTGGAACCAAAAAGACTTTTGAGGGGACCATGACGTCTATATTTGCACAGATCATTTCTGTAGCATTAATCTTAATCTTTGACAGTGGCGTGGACCTAAACTACAGTTACGCTTGGATTTTGGGGTCCATCAGCACTGTGTCCCTTCTAGAAGCATACACTACACAGATAGACAATCTCCTTTTGCCTCTCTACCTCCTGATACTGCTGATGGCCTAGCTGTCGAACAGCAACAGTGATGGAAGAAGCAGGGACGTGGGGAGCATGAATGGTCCCCACAGCAGCTAGCCACTTGGACATGAAGAGCCAAGCAGTAAAAAACAGATTTGATTTTTCAGTTGATTGAGATTTAAAATAAAAAAGCAAAGCTCTCCTGGTTCTAGTTTTGCTGATATTTAAAAAGAGAAAAGGCTTAAAGGATAGTACAACTCAAGTTTTCTGTAGACCCCCTTTTCTCACCTTGCAGTCTCAGATGGGGCCGCAGTGGACACTGGAGGCACTAAAGCATGATGGTTAATGCCTTAGTTTCTGGTGTCAAACTAATCTAGTCAGAATCCTTGGCTGCACAAATTCTTACCTGTGTGACCTTGGGTGAGTCACTTAACCAATCTGAGCCTCAGTTTTCCTGTCTGCAAGATAGAAATAATGATGGCCTGTACCTCATGGGGTGTTGTGAGAGTCCAGTGAGGTAAGGTGTGTGAAGTGTCCAGCCTAGGGCCCGCCCATGATGAGCAGTCAGTAAGGGAAAGTGTCATTGTTACCCAAGACCAGTCCTCATCTTAGCAAAAGCCCAGGTGAACCAAGGGGTTTTATGGTTTATACTTGGAAACCAGAGTGACTTTACTCTCCTGGCTTTACTTGGGGGTGGAGAACCCAAGAGTGGAGTGCGTGTGGTTTCTGTCTTTTGGGCTAGGAGGAACTGAAGGGAGAGGTGGGGTCAGCTTTTTGCATGTGTGGAAGGGCTGGGGAAGAGGATCAGATACTGGGCTGACGTCCTGTTTCAGCCAACCCCACTCCTGCCTGTGCTGCCTGGCGAGTGGTGCTCATAGAGAAGGGCGGACTGAACAGCACTGAGTCTTTGTCAAAGGGTCCCCCCTGACCCTTTCACATTCCAGTCGTATCCAAGCCCGTGTTTGTCTCTTCCTGTGGCCTAGAAAAGATCCACGGGGGTTGGGGGAGTTCCCTGAGAGTTCAGAATGGCTCTCCTCTGGGGCCCATGCTCCAGCCTTGCTCTCTAGGAGGACGGGCTCTGGGTCTGCCTGGTTCCCCACCACATCCCCGAAGGCTAGCACAGAGCCTGGCACAGAGCAGGATCTCAGTAGACATTCACTGAATGGACGAACACGTCCCATCGCTGAAAACATAGCACAGCAAGATCCCTGAGGCTGCACAATGTTCTCCCTCTTCTTCCCAGCCTGGCAGGGAGGGACATAGCAGGAAGAGGTGAGAATTTTTTTTTGAGACAGGGTCTTGCTCTGTCTCCCAGGCTAGAGTGCAGTGGCCTCGTCATAGCTCACTGTAACCTCAAACTCCTGGGTTCAAGCAATCCTCCTGCTTCAGCCTCTCAAGTAACTGGGACTGCAGGCACGCACTCCTAGGCCCAGCTAACTTTTCTATTTTTTGTAGAGACGTGGTCTCACTCATGCTCAGGCTGGTCTCAAACTCTTGGCCTCAAGTGATCCTCCTGCCTCAGCCTCCCAAAGGGCTAGGATCACAGGTGTGAGCCACTGCGCTTGGACAGAGGTGAGAACTTTGACCCACCAAGGCAGAAGCCAGGAGCAGAGCTCTAGAGAGCTGGAATCACTGCCAAATCCTTTCCCTCAGAGAAGAGTATTGAGACATTCATTTGGGGCCCAGTAGAAACCTGTTCTCTCCCAGTCCCTTGTACTGCTTGCCAAAGGAAGTGGCAAAATGTTGGTGAAGGAGCACCATCTTTGCCCCCCTGACTCCCTGGGTGGCCTTGGGAAAGGGCTCTATCCTCTGGGTCTTGGCTTGTCCATGTATACAGTAGTAGGGGGATGGACTAAATCAGGGTCACAAACTCAAACGGCCGCCAAGGCCAGGCAGGTGTCACAGTGTGGACAAGGGACTACATGGCCTCTAAGGAGGCAGCTCCAGCCAGTAGCCACCATGCTGGAGTGCAGGCCCAGTGCTGTCGATTGGGCACTTGTTCAAGGAAGCTTAGAAACCTGGATTGCTATGTGAAATCTCTCAAGTTTTAAAAAGGTTTTTTTTAAAAAAAAAAAAAAGGCCAGGCATGGTGGCTCACGCCTATAATGCTAGCTCTTTGGGAGGCTGAGGCGGGCGGATTGTTTGAGCTCAGGAGTTCGAAACCAGCCTGAGCAAGAGCGAGACCCCGTCTCTACTAAAAATTAGAA